TGAAGCTTTTGTTTGTACTAACCACATGGGTCGACCATACTTTCCACCATCATCCTCGCGCAATGGCCCAGCTGAAATAGCTCTTCCTATCACACCAGTGTATGTTGACGGAGGCAACTTTACTTAAGATAGTGGTCGGTCTCAGTTTCTTTGTGTGTATCCGTAAATGATAATGAGAAAACTCAAGGGCCGCCACTTTTCTGTTTAAAACGTTTTAGTTGGAGTATTGGAAATGTACAATAAAACTATTCATTTAATCGTAAAATAGGGAATTTACACCTTTCCAAACAGGACTAGAACCTTATGATTGTTGAGAAACACTTTCGAAACGCGAAACCTATCTTCGCTTCATACTCTTTTCACCTTGTCCGTTAATTGGAGCTACAAGGAACCCAAATAAAAGTCTCACGTTTCACTTTCAAATGTTAATATTTCTATGCATACTCGTTTTGGAAGTGTGACAAAAGGTGAAAAACATCACTTGAAACTTGAACATGCTTTACTGTGGCCAGTTTAAGAAAGTCGTATTGTTTGCACAAAGAATGCTTTCACGCCATTATATGCCTCTTCGTTAGGGCTACCAGTTTCCATGACCTCAGTAAAGGTTCCTAAGGTGTTATGGTAGGCGTATAGAGGACATGTCCAAATGTAACTCCTTTTGTGCAAACCGCCTCCGTGGTCTGGAGGTCAGAACGTCCGCCCGGACAGCGGAAGGTCGCGGGTTCGATCCCTAGCCGCGTCATACCAAAATAGGTTAAAATATGGTACTTGTTAGTCCCTGCCTGGCGCTCGGCATTAATGGGTACACCATGGACTGGTCGACTCGGAGTCAATATAAGTTGTCTGAGTAGGGTATTCATGCTCAACACCCGCATAGTTTCTCAGTGAGCTCACACTATGAAATCAGCTTAAGTCTGGGCTAGTACAAGCAGCAACACATACACACGCATGCACGTCGTCATATGAGCGAAATATTCTTAAGTACGACGTTAAACCCCGTTTGACCTCACCTCACCATTTAGTGCAATTCCATATTTTGATCTGTACAGTACATTCCCGAGTTGATCAGGTAAGCAAACTGTATGTGAAACAGCTATTGTCTGTGATGGGTGCCACAGATCTAATAACAATTTTTTGTCTCTTTCATTTTTACCAATCTTCAAACATTGCTATATATTTCTTTTCCCGGGTAGTGTATACACACCTCACGAAGTCTAATTGAAATACATCGAGACAAATTTGTTTCATTAATAAAGCTTGGAGCATCATTAACGAGACGTTCTTGGAAGGAAATGTCAGAAAAGTGACATTGACAAATAGTGGACACGGCCTCTGAAGTTCACGGGGATTGTCAATAACCATAATACGTGGGTTAATCATTCTGTCGGTTGGGAGAAATCAATACTCAAGGTTGAGATTGTGAAGGCCGGATGACGACTTACGCTACTGGAACGTGACAACGTGTTGCTAATGTGTAGTAGATAAATGAAACACAATCAGCTGCGACAGGAGCCACAGAATGTAATGATGTTGACACTTGTGGATTTCCAGAGACTCTGTAATCACTTATATCCTGCCAAACTTATAGTACATTGTACATACAATCTACTCATGTTAAGAAGGCACTGGAAGGACCTGGCTGAAGCGTCCAGTTATCCGTCCGTCCAGTTATCAGTCCTTGGGGCTTGTAGACCCAATTATAGTATCATGAGACCCAACTATGGTAGTTAAAGACCTAGTTATGGTATAATAAATTGAACAGAAATCATGAGCAGATACAAGTGAGTGAGTGAGTTTTTTAGTTGTATTTCGCTTTTAGGAATATTCCAGCAATATCACGGCGGGGAACACCAGGAATGGGCTTCACACTTTGTACCCATGTAGGGAATAGAACCTGGGTCTTCGGCGTGACGAGCGAACGCTTTAACCACTAGGCTACCCCACCGCCCCGCAGATACGTTTCTATATTGGTCCGTATCCATACAAATGTACAAAATAATTATAGCACATATTTTAACAGCAACATTGCTTCAGTGGCTTGAGGAAAAAGTGATGGTTGTCTCGAAAACAATGTCTGAAGGGTTGATCTTGAATAAAGTTTGACACGAATAGAAGTCTGCTCAGTACAGTTGCAACAGGCTGTTTGTTTTAATAACAAACTTGCCGCAAACCCAACACATGAGATAGTGCTTGTTACCGCCAATCAATTTGCGCTACGCTTCAGCGTTTGATCTCCTGTCTATATAAACCAGGTGGTTATAACAGTCAACCTTGCCTCCGTGTCAAGACATGGGTTGGTGCTTGTTAACATCAATCAGTTTGGTTTGGATGTCCAGTTTTGTAAAGTACATTATAAAGTCACTCTTGGGACCAAAATATCCAATATGCATAATGTCGGAAAATCTCATCAACATCATCCGAAAAAATCCTCCAGTTAGACAGAATGTCAAATCATCCTTTGTCCAGTTATCAGGAGTTGAATCATGATTAAGTGTAAAATGTTGTATTTTCAAACATGCATAACACGTCCAAAAATAGACTTTAGTGCATGAATTTTTACATCAGTTTAGAAGAAGGTAATGTCTATACAACCAAGTGGATACTTGTAGATAACGGAGACGTTGAGCGCGATGGTGACGACGTAGCACGGTCCCGACGTCGGGTGTCCTGGCTCTCAGACCAATCTCTCTGAACCTGTTCCGTACAGTTTGACCGGATATCCTCCGAAGTCCAGGCACCCTGGCTGCTGTGCTCTCACCCCTGGCAGTACCATCCCGCACATGTAGTACCCGGATGTACCGATTTTGGGCTGCAGTGGTGACTCGAGGTCTGACTGTACGGGGACGGTAATTTGTTATACCTGTTTGGTTGTAAGGAGCTACAAGCCGTAATATCGTGCTCAGACTAACATTCAGACGCCTGGCAACAAAAGACTGGTAATCAGAAGTGTGCATTCTTTCAATGGCGATGTTCCGTGTCGCAGCGTCAAGAAGTGGCGTAGTGATTTGACCTTGAAACTCCTTCAAAACGAATGCCGATTTCCGTAAGTAATCTGGATTTCCATAGCCAGACAGTGCATGCTCATCGATGTTTTGCTTGTGCAATCGTGTAAAATCATGTTATCAACACTTTCGTTACATATTTTCCCGATTGTTTGAACACAATACGTAATAATTGGTTTTTAAAAATACAAAACGCCTATGCGTTTCTTTTTTTGGATAGTATATATTCAAAATATTCATATTCTGCCTACATTTGTAAGTTCTAAAAACTAGCTACAGCTAAATTTCTCGTAAGTTTCATTATCCATTAAAGGCTTACATCAGATAATATGGCAGGAAATTCAAACCCGGCATACAAATGACATCCAGCACGAAGTGTTTTGTTCAGAGAACGTTGTATCTGTAACATGTGTCAAAATTTCAGCAATGGTCTCCGTATAAGACGACGTAATTCCATCTGAAGCCGCTAGAGGGAGGTAAATAATGAGAACAGCCCCATTACAAGTATCTGCGGCTTTACAAGAATGCTCTGATTTTATTATACACGTGATCAATGATCTATGAAATATGAGTTATGCCTCGTGACGTGTTACCTCCATTTACAATTGGATTCAGTTCCATTGCGGACGATTGTGATCTGGAATAATAAAAGTACTGATGTTTAGTGGAGACAAGTAGTAATAGCATCATCCCGTAGCGAGTGGGTGGAGATTTGGATCCTGTTGTGGTATATCTGTTGAACACTATCCGGTTACAGCTGAAATGGGGTTGAAAATCGCGTTCAAATTTATTGGACTTTTATAGCGACGTGTTGTTGTGAACGTGTGTCTATGAGTAATGTTTAATGTGTGTCTGTGTGTGTTCTAGTCTGGACTGATGGCACCCCGTACAGGTACCATGCTGTAGCCACGTATACTAATAGTCCTAATCTGTTCCTCATAATGTCGGACGCCAGGCACGGTAACAACAAGTAACATATTTTTATACAATGCGTCCAGGGTATCGAACCAGGCTGACTTTCCACCCGTAACACTACGGGTGCGGTCTGTTCAGTTAGAGATGAGGTGAAATTGGGTTTTACGTCGTGCTTGAGAATATTTCGCTCATATGACGACGTGCATGCGTGTGTATGTGTATGTGCGGCTGCTTGTACTAGCCCAGACTTAAGCTGGTTTCATAGTGCTAGCCCACTGAGATACCATGCCGCAGTGAAGAAGCATGAATACCCCACTCAGACACATTATACTGACTCGCTGACTTGGTTGACACATGTCAACGTATCCCAATTGTGTAGATCGATGCTCATGCTGTTGATCCCTGGTTTATCTGGTCCAAATTCGATTATTTACAGATCGTCGCCATATGGCGATTATAACCGTATAGGGAGTTAAAAAACAAACAGACAATCTATTAACATCATATAAAAAGGGGCGGTGGGGTAGCCCAGTGGTTAAAGCGTTGGCTCGTCACGCCGAAGACCCGGGTTCGAATCCCCCCATGGGTACAATTTGTGAAGCCCATTTCTGGTGTTCCCCGCCGTGATGTTGCTGGAATATTGCTAAAAGCGGCGTAAAACCAAATTCAGTCAGTCAGTCATATAAAGAAATATATTGCATATTAGAAATATAATCTGAAGAATCATTTAATATAATTGCTTAAAATAAAAAATAAAATGATAATAAATAAGAACATGAAACATAAATGATAAAACTTCATGGACAAAATATTTGGTATAAGTCAGCAAGTATTGTGATACAGCATAAAGCACATGTAAACAAAGACAATGTGAAATGTATATACTTATATGACTATTTATAATTATAACATCCCGTGAAGATCCTGGTTAGAATTGATCTTCAGTAACACATGCTTGTCATAAGAGGCGACTAACGGGATCGGGTGGTCAGGCTCGCTGACTAGGTTGACACATGTCATCGGTTCCCAGTTGCGCTGATCGATGCTCATGCTGGTCCAGACTGGATTATTTACAGACCGCCGCCATATAGCTGGAATATTGCTGAGTGCGGCGTCAAACTAAACTCACTCACCCACTCTTTATAATTATAACAATTTAAAATTATTATTTGTTGGCTTTGTTGCAGCATGGTGACATACAGAACAATTTGCTGAGAAGAGTTTTACATTCGGTCCTGAACTTAGGGTTACAGAAGCTGTAGATGATAGGATTTGACGCGCAGTTGATGAAGTAGGAACGTAGGAAGAGTTTGAAGACAACTAACGCCGCCGGGGAACAGTGAATGTTTATCAAGTACCCTGGAGAAAGAATCGACAATATCTGCAAAGCGAAATGAGGAATGAAGCTTATGATAAACACCAGTGTTACTAGAAATAACATCACTGTTGTCTTAATGGTTTGCTTTTGCTGCTGTTTGGACCTTTGCTTTGTTTCGGGATTCAATAACCGAAGATCAAAAGCTGAACCGTTCTCAGGCAGCTCCGGTTCTACAACCCTCACAGCAAGCCGGTCCTTCTCTTTGGCGTCGGCCAGTGATGAAGTGGGTGAGGTCACAGGTAGATTCCCTTTCACATTTTGCATCTGCATCCGTTTCCGTTTTTGTTTTTGTTTCCACACTTTTATAACAATGAAAACATATAACACTATAAGTAAAACGAAAGAAAGCAAACACAACGTGCCAGTTATTCCAAGATACACTTTAGGAAATAATGTATGTCTGTATTTTTGGTCAAAGGAACAATCTGCTGTTTCAACACCTGCAATGGTTCCTGTTTTCGCTCCGTATAACAGAACAGTCGGAAGTGCAAGAGATAGCGCCAAGCCTATAGCAAACCGATCCACAGTTTTGTTTCCTTAAAGCTCATCTGGTTTTCAAATGGCCGACATATTTTCCGATATCTATCCACAGCGATAGCAACGAGGAGAACAACAGAGGCACACGTACCGAGAGTGATAGTGAATCTCATTATCCTGCAAAGGGTTGGTATGTTGAAGTGGTAGTCAAATCTCAGGTCTATAATCTCCCCTGGTAAGGCTATCGAGCAGCTCAGGAGGTCAAATATTGCTAGAGTCATGATGAAGTACTTTGAGGTGCTGGGTGGAAACTTCAGATGGTATACAACACATACTAATATGTTGCCAAGGAAACCAACTAACAATACGATGCCTATGAACAATATGGCGCCTAGTTTTTGCTTGGCCTCGTTGTTTTCCAGGTCCCACACCATCCGTTCAGCATCCTCGCGTGAGAGGTTTAGTCCGGAGACGTTCAGTCGGAACAGCTCGCAGGACATCTTGCTTGCGCCGACTGCAAAAACAAATACAAAACGTTCACGACAGAGTGTAAGTGAGTGAGTGAGTGAGTATAGTTTCTACGCAGCTTTTAGCAACATTCCACCAATATCACGGCGGGGGAAACCAAACTAGGCTTCTCACATTGTACCTATGTGGGGAATCGAACCAGGGTCTTCGGCGTGACGAGCGGACGCTTTAACCATTAGGCTACCCCACAGTCCCTTAGTCTTGATTGATCCACCTGGCGTCAAAAGCAAAACTGGTGAAATGATTGATTGATTGATTGATTGATTGATTGATTGACCCCACTGACACAAATCATATAAAATACTCTGACAAGTGTATTTGTATTGCATGACAATAAAATGACAAATTTGGAAGCATAAGTTTCGGTAAATACACCATTTGGTCACATAGAACAAGGTATCGGGGCTTTACACAAAATGAATCGCACAGACGTATGGAAGGGCAAGTCACCAAAATATTTACTGACTGACTGACTGACTGAGTCTGGTTTTACGCCGCTTTTAGCAATATTCCAGCAATATCACGGCGGGGGACACCAGAAATGGGCTTCACTCATTGTACCCATGTTGGGATTCGAACCCGGGTCTTCGGCGTGACGATACAACGCTTTAACCACTAGACTACCCCACCGCCGCTCCAAAATATTTACACTGAGACTGATGCTGGTGTTGCGGTGTAACTGTTTATCAATTCAAAGATAACTGTACCTAAGTCATTTGATACAGTAACATTAATCCCATCATGCAACAAATGTAAAGAAACCGGTAGTAGACAAGCAACGATATTTATGTATCCTTCCTGATACGTACATGTGAATAGAAGCCACTTCATGTTCACCATGTCCCGTTAGTGCAACAAATAGGCTGTACTGAATACTGAGCCCATAGATGTATAGTTATTCTATCCTTCGAAGAGGCAAGTGCAGATAGGCGGACATTTTTTTAGAAATTATCATTTAAACTATAAATTCTGACTTTAGAGAATTGTGCAAGTCTAGTGCCATATGTATGCCTTCTCATGCGTATCTCTTGAAATACACTCATTATTGGATTTTTAAAGGACTTAGGATTAGTATATCTAGTGCCCTTTACGCCATTGGCGTTCAGTGACAAGACATGCAATAGTGGCCCATTCAAAGTCATAGATAGATAGCTGTATCATAGCTTGTAATCGTCGACAGCAGCTGGTTTCAGTGCCACTGAGATCAATACTTAGCAGGTGGAAAGTGATGTTCTAAACGTGTCTGTGCGCTCAAAGACATGTGGTTACAAGCCTGATCACAAGAAAACTTTTTCTACACAGGAAGACAAATATAAGTACATGAAACCCATCTCATGTTGGCTAATTTAGACAAAACGTTTTTTCGCTTTATAGGAGAGATAATTCAGAAAAAAGATGGCCGCCTGATATCGAGTTCCTGATCTATATTTCTTCAACAAATATGAAACCATCTAAGTTCTGTAGATTTAAATGAAAAGCATCAGTTTAATCGAAGAGATTCCGGGAGAATGATGAACTTACGAAAACAGACGAGGGAGACCAATAAACATACATGTATGTAGGTCATTCTGTCAGTAAGTGAGTATAGGTTTGCGCCGATTTTAGCAATATTCCAGCAACATCACGGCGGGAGACACCAGAAATTGGCTTCACACATTGTACCAATGTGGGGAATCGAACTCGTAGCTTCAGCTTGACGAGCGGATGCCTTAACCACAAGGCTACCCCAACACCCTCATTCTGTCAGATCAGGAAAGCTTCCTTTCCACTGTCATTAGTCATTAGAAGCAGACATGATAGCTATATTGTAAAATTTTGATCACGTCGTAATTCCTTGAAATTACTTTATAATGTAGATCGAGTTGCTTCAAAAACATTTTCTTTTGTAAATGAAGAATTAATGACCAGATATCAAGATGCTCTGGATGTTTTTTTAAAAAAGCGGAAGGGTAAGAGTATTTTTGTATCACATCAAGGCATACATTTACACCGCAGCGAGGAAAATTGAGATAAAAACTCTATTTTTACTTCGCCTCTGACTGAAAATTCAGGTCGGTCGGGTATGGAATCCTAGAACGGACATTGTCGCGTTGTCGCCCTCTCAAAAACGAGCAAAAAGAGGCAAAATTAACCAAAGCGCGACAATGCGACATAGCGACAACGCGACATTTCGGCTATTTGTCGCATTGTCGCTATGTCGCGTTTTGAATAACCTTTTTCTTTTCTTCCAAAGGGCGACAATAGCAACAATTTTCAAGGTCAAAATATGTCGCGTTGTCGCACTGTCGCCCCATCTAAAAAAGCCTTATAATGCGCGACAATGAGACATGACAATGTCCTTTCTAGGATTCCATAGTCGGGAGATGGGAAACACGAAAACAACATGGACAGCCTTACTCTTACATTACACTTCTTCAGAAGTGGTGACAAAATTATCTTCAAATCATTTTGCTTTTCACGAGCATGCGTCACATTAGACATAAGATTCCCTTGGCTATAAAAAAGTACTTTCATGTTGAAATGTAAGTTGATTTTTTATATAGGTTTTTATTTTAGTGTTGAAATATAATGCATACACGAAAACGGAATGGCTACAGAGAGCGATCATGTTCTTTAGCGATCGATGTAAGCTACGTGGTGTCATGGTGCAGACACGTGCACCAAATACGTATACTCTCTGTGGTGGATAATAGTGAGTAAGTGAGTGAGTTTAGTTTTACGCCGCACTCAGCAATATCCCAGCTATATGGCGGCGGTCTGTAAATAATCGAGTCTGGACCAGACAGTCCAGTGATCGACAGCATGAGCACCAATCTACGCAATTGGGAGACGATGACATGTGTCAACGAAGTCTGCTAACCAAGACGCTGTTATTGCATAATTATTTATATCAGACACATGTTGGCTTGCCATCGAATATGTTATTATTGTGAGTGACAAAAAATGCTTTGAATAATGTCATGTATGTAGTATACACTTAAGATCTGTGAGATCCGGTTTTCGCAGGCTGGCTGAATGACAAGACAAGATGGACATGGATGCAAGGAGCAAGTCGCGCGGGGGTGACGAGGAGGGGAGACGGTGGGTAAAGCAATCAGTTGATGTCACGCTCCATTATCGACTGTGGGTCAAGTGAATGATTGAAGGTCTCCTTGTAACATGGCTACAATTAATTACATTCCCCCGGCTGTGATCTTTACGCTTCTTTGTACTACGGATGTGTGAAATACAAGCACAACCAATTTCATATTTACAAGATATCTCCGTTAACAGCAAAATCGATTCTTAGTTTCCGACTGCATGACGTGCATTTGCCCATGGATATGAAATAGCGATGATACAAGGTGTCCGCAAAAATGTGAGCTAGTCATGTTCTGCCAGTGGCACAAACACATGCAAAGTCAAGTCAATTATCACCCCACCCCACCTGTTTTATTATACAAAAAACGTAGGCACGAGAACATAGGTACAAAATAAGATGCTTGAATCGCATGCTCTTCTCTCCGAAACTTTGCGAAATATAAAAATATCGTCCGACAAGATGTCTTTTGGAAATAAGAGTGAGTTGAGTTTAGTTTTACGCCGTTCTTAGCAATATTCCAGCAATATTACGGCGTGGGACAACCAGAAATGGGCTTCACACATTGTACCCATGTGGGGAATCGAACCCGGATCTTCGGCGTGACGAGCGAACGCTTTAACCACTAGGCTACCCAGCCGCCCCCTTGGAAAGAAGAAGTCATCCTTCTTGTTATTCAGTGTCTGTTTGCACAGATCTAAATATAAAACAGAAGATGCTGTCTCGGCAGTCTCATTTATTTCTGATTCAGGTGGGTAAATAAGTGGACGGTATTGCATATCTGATTTTTACTGAACGACAGCAGATCACTGATATACTTGATGCCTATAATAATGATCCCCCATGCTCAATGTTATATCAGTAAACACTGAGTTAGTTGTGACGGAAGCTGCTTGAACAGTATTCCAGATAAGTCAGAGTGTGCCAAGCATAAACCTGAGACAGAAGGAACTGAGGTCGAAGAAGTTTAAAAACTGACAAAACCCACCAGCGCACGTCTGCTGCTCTTACGAAAGCATCCAATCGAGTTCGAACCCTAGCGCAGCGGATCCTGGCGCAGCTGGTCACGAAACATTGGCTCATAAATTGCCTCAGACCCTTGACCAAAAATTAACTTGATACGACCCATGGACTTCAATCACATTTAGCTAATTATATTTGCAATTCCCAGTAATGGATGGATTACGGCAAGTCTTTGAAACTGTATCTATTGAAAACTCCATAGCATTATTACTTTACAGGAGGTCAACAACCAAGTAGCTATCTCCTGTTACAATATAAGCCTCTGTTTGTCTAAACAAAAACGCTCTTTCACCCATGTAGAAAAGATCTCGCGAACTAAATCCCAGCGAACCCGCGTACCAAAATAAATCTGAAACGGAGAGGTTAATCTCTGAAAGAAATTTGCTCGCTCCATGCCAGAAATACTACGATGAAGGTGAAGAGGAAGAGAGGTTGATGTTTTGTATTGGAAGCTGGGTCAAATTACACAACCGACACTGAATTACCTGACAAAGGTGCCAGGAAGCGTTACACCTGGCACTCGGAATCTACTTCACGATACAGGAGCGGCGTCTCAGGGGAAAAGAGAGACGCGCGGACGTCGGAGAAGCCAGTGTTAAATGTACACGCCTTGCATCTAAACATTTTGGTTTGGGGTTTTTAAAATGTGAAACAGGGGAGAATTTACATGTATAAAGTACACACCTGGCATCTCGAAATTGGTGTTTGGGTCAGAGTGAGTGAGTTAAGATTTAGAGTCACATCGGCAGTATTGCAACCATATCGTGACTATAATAATTATTATTATATATACTGTAATAATAAAGAAAAGTTATTTTGTAAAAATCTGTCAACAAAGGACAGTAAAACAACTAGGCTATCACAGATAGAAAGGTAAAACTGGC